AACTTTTTTACCATGTAAAACTAATGGAATGACTTATTGTGAGCTATAGCAACTTTTATGACCTTACAGCTTACAGTCAGCAACAAAAAATAAAGTAGAAAATATAACATTAAATACTAGCGCATTCTAGGTGACTGGTTCACACAAACTGCCTCTCTTAAAAAAAAAAAAAAATAAAAACTGAACTGCTGTATACACGTTCTTTGCAAGGGGAGGGATTCAGGGGTACGCAAAAGAGAGAATGCTGTTTTTTTTATAGTTCTGCTGTATGTAAGAGTTACAGATCTATTATTTACTTAAAAAACAAAACACTTATAGTATATTTTCGCTGTAGTTTATGTAGCAATGTAGCGCACGCCGTAACTACATGGCGCTCCAAGCGGTGTGTGCCAGAACCTATGGTAACCGCAGCACAGCTGACGGTCTATATTTAATTCTTTTTGTCTATGCTTTAACTCTTTGATTTAATTTGAAAAGTGTAATCTACAGTAATTTTATTGAAAAGTGTAGATCTCTTTACTTTTAAAACACTACTTTATTAACCTAATTAGTCAATATGTAAAAAAAAAAAACAACAATATAACGTAGTACCGTAACAAAATCATTCTCGATGTTATTGATAAGTACATATTAGATTTTTTTACTAGTCCCTAAAGTAGGCTTTTTTGGGACGATATTGTGTTTAATGGACGAGGCTTTGCCAAGTCCGGAAATTCGATTAAGTCACAAAAAAGCATTTTAGGACGAGTTACGAACAATATTTTCATTACATTGTCATATATTAAAGCAGAAAATACAAAATATTGCCAGATGTAGTAACCTATACAAAATATAATAAGAAACAAACAAAGTTTGTTTATACATTGTTGAAGCATTTTAAAGGATCAGAACAGATGATTTCTTTTTAGATAAGCTTTGACATAACCATATGATTCGAGTCCGTAAAATTTTAGGAATAAGCTATCTTTAGGGACTCAAAACGATCCGTAAGGCAGCTGTTTTTGAGACAGTGTAATGAAAAAGATATTTTACCCTAATTCTTCCATTTTAGTCACATCTCTTTCTTTACCTGTAGCTTATTATTTAAATTAAAAATGAAACTATAAAAAAAATCAATAACACTTTTACTACCATTCTTTAAATAAACAAAAACCCACTTACTACTATAATACTAATAACTTGTTTTTGTGTTTCCTGAAACTATATGTGAACGATCTTATCAACAAAAATGACACATTTAATGTTCTAGCTGAGCTGATCCTTGAGAGACTGTGTTTTTTATCTTTTGTGCTGGCAATCAAACTAAATGATTATATCCTTAAATTTAGTTTCTATTTTTTGTCTCCTGTTTGACAGGTAATTTTTTTATCCAATTTAGAGCTTGGTTTTTTTAATGAAAATACTTTCCTATGTACATTTTTATTTTAAAATAAGTTCCACTCAAGGTTTAGTTATTAAGAGTCAATCTGTTGCTCTCCATGTTAAAAAGAGTTATTAATTTGATTTCCCAGACAACTTATCACATTTTAATGTATGTTAAATTAAAAGAACAAAATTTTCTCAAACCATGTCCTCTTCCATTGCAAACACAAAGCATTAGTATAACTGCAATAAGCAATTTAAACTTATAAGCCAACCCCGAACGAAGGCCGGGTATTCAGCTAGTAATTATTATATGTGAAGCAGGTGTTCCTCCACTGTATCTAGTATCACAACTATTACAACATCATCTGACTAAATTTATTATAGATCCAATTTTCTTGAATACTGTCTTATATTCTGCTGCCATAACATTTATGTTATTTAAATAAATTAATTCGTTAAAATGTGTTTTAGGATGTTTTGTACTTAAACCCAACGAAGACCCAGGTGATTCTTTCCTTTGTAGGGCCAACGAATACAAGTTTCCGTTGGGCCAACGTTGGCAAATCGTTAAAATTTCCGCCAACCATTTCCCAACCGTGCCGACCATTTCCCAACGTTGGGCAAATGATGTGTGCTACTTGGGAATTATACTTGGGAATTATGTTACATGGGAACAGGCACGAAAGGTGGTTTGGAACAGGAGTTTGGTTTATGGAGGGTTATAACGGATAAAAATAGTTTTTCCCATTTTAGCGAATTTCCCATATGCCTGGACCCTGGACTTATTTACTTTATCGTTTTCATGTCCCCAGAGGTGAAAAACACCCTCCGTTAAAATTCACACACACATATATATATGTGTGCCCGTTAACCGATAAGTCGGCTTACGATTTCAGGCCGATAAATATTTTGTCCGCTCTATATAAAGGCCTAGAAATTACAGTTCACTGACAAATCACAGAATTCATCACTGATAAAAACATTTTATCTGACTATCAATCTGGTTTCAGATCAGCACACAGTACAGAAAAAGCACTCCTTCGAGTGACTGAAGACAGACTTACTATGGAGCGTCAACAAGGAACATTCTAACTCCGTTTGATTTTTCCAAAGCATTTGACTGTGTTAATCATGACTTGCTGGTGCAGAAATGAAGGGGTAATAGGGTTTTCCCACAATTATCTTAAATGACTGAGATCTCATCTATTAGATAGGTAGGCTGCAACCAGGTTGTTGACATGAGATCAGACTTGATGAATTTAATTAAGTCGGCTTACGATTTCAGGCCAATAAGTATTTTGTCCGCTCTATAAGTCCCGAAAAATGTGATTTGCCCAAAAAGGACCAATCCTTGAACCTCTGTTCTTTGTACTGTATATCAACGACATAAACTCGACCTTGGCCAACTGTAAACACCACATGTACGCTGATGACTTACAAATCTATGACCATTTTACTGCAAATAACAAAAATGACTGTGTCAGAAGGATCAATGAAGATGTGAACCGAATAGTTACTTGGACTGAGAATAAATCATGAAAACACAAAACCAATTGTAATTGCTACTCTCGACTCCGCACTTCAAATAACTTAGACTCCATAAACCCAATCACAGTCGAGTGGCAAAGCAATTCCCTACTGTATGGCAAAGTATAGAATCTTGGCATAACGATCAACTCTTCACTTACTTGGGACACAGCAGTTATTTAATTATTTGAGTAGTATCTTTGACTATTGATACAACTAGACATTCCATTCCCATGTTAAAGTTGTTGCTAATTTTTAAAATCAAAATCGTCGTAGTTGATGTGAGCCACCAACCTGTGCTGATCCAAATTAGGACTAAATATCCTGTCTAAAACAAAAACTCTTTTACCATGTAAAACTAATGGAATGACTTATTGTGAGCTATAGCAACTTTTATGACCTAACAACTTATAGTCAGCAACAAAAAATAAAGTAGAAAATATAACTTTAAATACTAGTGCATTCTAGGTGACTGGTTCACACAAACTGTCTCTCTTTAAAAAAAAAAATAATAAAAACTGAACTGTTGTATACACGTTCTTCTCAAGGGGAGGGATACAGGGGTACGCAAAAGAGAGAATGCTGTTTTTTAGTTCTGCTGTATGTAAGAGTTACAGATCTATTATTTACTTAAAAAACAAAACACTTATTTTAACACTTATAGTAGTGTAGTCAAATTATGTTCTTTAAATTAAAATAAGAGGTTCAAAATCTCCAGGTAAGTACAGTGCATAAGTGGGGCTGATGCGTGTTTAAAAATACTTTAACCATAGACAAAAAGAATTAAATATAGACTTTCAGCCGTGCTGTGGTTACCATAGGTTCCGGCGCACACCGCTGAAGTTTATGTAGCAATGTAGCGCACGCCGTAACTACATGGCGCTCCAAGCGGTCTGCGCCAGAACCTATGGTAACCGCAGCACAGCTGACGGTCTATATTTAATTCTTTTTGTCTATGCTTTAACTCTTTGATTTAATTTGAAAAGTGTAATCTACAGTAATTTTATTGAAAAGTGTAGATCTCTTTACTTTTAAAACACTACTTTATTAACCTAATTAGTCAATATGTAAAAAAAACAACAACAATATAGCGTAGTACCGTAACAAAATCATTCTCGATGTTATTGATAAGTACATATTAGATTTTTTTACTAGTCCCTAAAGTAGGCTTTTTTGGGACGATATTGTGTTTAACGGACGAGGCTTTGCCAAGTCCGGAAATTCGATTAAGTCACAAAAAAGCATTTTAGGACGAGTTACGAACAATATTTTTCATTACATTGTCATATATTAAAGCAGAAAATACAAAATATTGCCAGATATAGTAACTAGTAACCTATACAAAATATAGTAAGAAACAAACAAAGTTTGTTTATACATTGTTGAAGCATTTTAAAGGATCAGAACAGATGATTTCTTTTTAGACAAGCTTTGACATAACCATATGATTCGAGTCCGTTAAATTTTACGGAATAAGCTATCTTTAGGGACTCAAAACGATCCGTAAGGCAGCTGGTTTTGAGACAGTGTAATGAAAAAGATATTTTACCCTAATTCTTCTATTTTAGTCACATCTCTTTCTTTACCTGTAGCTTATTATTTAAATTAAAAATGAAACTATGAAACAAATCAATAACACTTTTACTACCATTCTTTAAATAAACATAAACCCACTTACTACTATAATACTAATAACTTGTTTTTGTGTTTCCTGAAACTATATGTGAACGATCTTATCAACAAAAATGACACATTTAATGTTCTAGCTGAGCTGATCCTTGAGAGACTGTGTTTTTTATCTTTTGTGCTGGCAATCAAACTAAATGATTATATCCTTAAATTTAGTTTCTATTTTTTGTTTCCTATTTGACAGGTAATTTTTTATCCAATTTAGAGCTTGGTTTTTTTTAATGAAAATACTTTCCTATGTATATTTTTATTTAAAAATAAGTTCCACTCAAGGTTTAGTTATTAAGAGTCAATCTGTTGCTCTCCATGTTAAAAAGAGTTATTCATTTGATTTCCCAGACAACTTATCACATTTTAATGTATGTTTTATGGAAGATAAATACAACATTAAATAAACATATTATGTATCACATAATATATTTTATTACACAGGTATAATAAAAGTATAACATTCTTCATGGTCAAAATCAATGTACATTTGAGATACAGAATATAATACTGTTTTAAACTGTTAATGAAAACAGGGGATAAGGAAGAATAGTAAAACAGTTTCTGGTGTTTACAAACATATTTACAGCTAAATATTCACAAATTAATTTGTTCAAAGTACATTTCAGTAATTTTTTATAATCATCAAATCAGTTATTATTTTTGTTTTCTTAAAATATAATCAATAATTTTACAAATACAATCAATAATTTTGCACAATCAAAACCAATTGTTTGTAGACTAGCTAGTAATTGCCATACTAGGTTGGCAAAGGAATAATATTAAATTTTGTCATTTACAAATTCGTAGACTGTTAGTCGAAACAGCAACATAGATTTTTCAAGTGTTATGATATTTTTATCATGTTCATGCCAGTATTTTCAAATATTTTAATTAAATGCATTTAGTGAAATGTATTTTGTTGAAGCTTAATCTCTTTTGTTGACTAATAACTTGGATTAGTGACTTATCTCTTAAAGACAAACACTTAATTCACAGATACACTGAATGGTCACAATACAGGCAAATCTACTCTGACAGGGCCAAACTTAGAGATTTTGGGATAAACAACTTAAACAGCCATTCACTAAAGACATAACAATTTTATGTTATCTCAAAAAACTCATAATAATTTATTATTTGTAATTTGAGCACATTGTAGGAACTCAGGACAACAATATATTGTCGAATTGTGGGCAAACACTGTTAGAAAAAAATTTATACAAAAATAATACAAAATTATTTGAGACAAAACATAGAAAGCTATTAATAATATAAAGCATATTCACATTCAAAGTTCATATAACTATATCTAAAATTTTACATCTAGAACTGATGAAATCACACTTTGTAATCTCTAGTTTGTCATGGCAATATGTCCTATTTCAAGCATTGGTCATCAAACGATCAATGGTTAAAATAATACTGAACATCAGTCATAAATACTTTTGTCTCGAGCGTCCTCTCACTCGACAAAATTAATTTTGGTTATCACCGAGACGTTTCAGCTCACTAGAACGAAGAGCTCAGGGTAGGAGTCTCGGATTAAACCTCCCCATGTGTAGGATCATGCCCGTCGGATTGTGTCGCACCATGTACAGGAACGGTCGGTCGAACCGCAGTCTAGGGTTGTCAGGAAGTCTGGCTTGTCGCGGCCTCAAGTTGAAAGGGATTTTGAGCAGGTCGTGGTCCTCCAGGTCCTCTGGCCGAGGGTACTGTTCTGGGTCATCGCGACCCATGCGCTGTGGGGACACGGGGTAGGTCTCTATGTGGTGTCTGGCACCTATGGTGTCCTCTCCGCAGGTGCTGAAGGTGTTGACCTGTACGATGTCTGACAGGTGGAGGTCGTTGGACAGACCATTGAGACCTCGTAGGTCAGCTTTGTTCTCATTAAACAGATCCTTCAGACCCATCCTCTGCAATGTGCTGGTTATGTTCAGTACAGATCTGTGGGAGAATCTGGGAACCTGTAACACATTGACATTTATCAAACCAATTGATTCTCAATGCAGCTGAAGCAAGGAAAGTGTCTCTTTACCGTGTACTAGTATCAACAGTATATCAGGTGATTTTACTTATCTTAAAAATTTTTTCTTGCTCTTGGTGGTTCTTGTTATGGACAACAGGAGTTATACAGAAGAAAATTAAAAGCAGTAGGTCTACAGTCTTTGCTTTTTGTTTGGGTGTTGGGTGTTTGTAAGCTGAGAAACCTAATTGAAATGCTGTTCACATAAAATTAAAAAAATGTCAAAGTTGAAAATAAAAGTTAAAATATCTGAGCTAATTAATAAATAGTAGTGTAAAAAATAATTACACCAAATGACTAGTGTTAGACAACATAGATGATAAATGACTGTAATAAAACCCAACACACACATTTTTAGCGAAATTAGATGGACACTATGCATTTTTGTGAAAACTCATTTACTCAATTTAAAATTGCTGTAAAAGTTTTACTAATTGCCTAGCTTAGACTTTAAAAAAGGAGGATGTGTCCAAACTTTAGTTCTTTCCAGTGCAATTTGTAGTAGTAACTCTTCTATGGGTGTGTGGTAGGCATGGTAGGTATCATGCATGGGTGTTGTTAATTTTTAGAAGCAGTGGTTTAGCCGTAAATTTTCCATTGTGGGAGCGCTCCTCATCATTTTCACAGAAAAATACAGGTCGCTTACCAATATATAACTTCTTCTAGGTTCTTTGGAAAAAGGAGAGTGGGAACACTACTGTTTAGAAATTATAATATAACTAACCTCTTTTAATGTTGATAATACTTTTGAATTTCTGGTGTTTTTGCAAGTTTATTTAAAAACAATTTCTGTAATAGTAAATGATATTTTTTACTAATACCTTAACTCTAAGTTAATAAATAAAAAAGAGTTTCACGGTTTAATTTAAGTTGATGACGTTTTAGCTCACAATGTCATGAGAACTATTTTATTGGTCAAGATCTGAAGCTTAAAAGGTTTTAAAAAGCTATGATACAAAAACATAAGAAAAAACAACATTCGATTACTCCTAATACTGACCTGTAGCTCCAGACCTGGTCGAGGTAGTAAGCTTCTGAGTAGCCGAGTCCAGCCTCCTCGTCGGTACGATGTTTCAATGAGCCTCTGTTCTAGTCTGGCGAGGCCGTCCCCTGGTGCGACCTGGCCTTGCTGGCCTGGCAGTACGAGGATGGTGCTGGCTACAGAGTCTGTGCCTAGCGCAACAGCTGTGGCGTCTAGACCTGGCTCGTAACCTGCCAGGAACCCAGTACGCCACACGGCAGCTGGTACTGGCACCAGGCGGCGCTGGCGTGTGGAAGGCCGGACTACAAAGTACATCTCCCCATCTCGACCATCTGTTGATGCTAGGTCGCAGTCGGTCTGGAATAAGTATATTTGGTTAAAAGTTACATTTATCAAATGTTCTCTATAGTTTGGAATATCTCTCCCTGGAAAGGAGGGATTTTCAATCTAGCAAGATGTACAAAGGGGCGGTGTGTAGTTGTGAATTATCAGCTGACTAGCAGTTTTATTATGTTTATATTTGATGTGATATTGTTGATGGTTGTTTTTATGGTAGGAAAGCATTTTTTTTACTGTGCACTATTGGTAGTATAAAAATACATTCATCGCAGAATCTATATATTAATTTGAAACTGCTTTTCTTTGTCACACCTATTTTGAGAGAATGGCTGGGCGTATAAACTTGGTAGAGGTGTCTAAAGAAAGGTCTTGGTCTGTAGATGAGCCATCAAAAGAAAAACATGGTGAATTCCCTTGGGGCTCTGCCCCCGTGGCCTTTAAATTCCCATCCCATGTTATTCTTATGGAGGAAAATGGGGTTTTTGTCACAGCTAATTTGAGAGAACGGCTGGGCGTAGAAACTTGGTAGGGGTCTCTAAAGAAAGGTCTTGGTCTGTAGATGAGCCATCAAAAGAGGAAAGAGGTAAATTCCCTTGGGGCTCTGCCCCAGAAGCCTTTAAAGTTGCCTCTTCAGATTTGTTTACATTACGACCATATGCATAATTCTACACTACTTTCTAATGCAACAGCTGTTAATATTTAAATTGTGATTTATTGAATTTGTCAAAATGAAGTACAGTATTTGCAATGGATTTTTCTGATTTTAAAATTGATTTTCTTCTGCATCGTGTCATGTTTTGCAATATAATGTTCTATTACCAAATCAGTGGAAAATCCTAATATCACAGTAACTTTTAAAATTATTTCTTATGGATTTAACTTATATCTATTGTATGGGTTGGTTTCTGCCTCTTTTACCACTTCTTGGAGATTGTACGTAGGTGATATTCTTTGGCATATTGCATCTGTAGACGAAACTTGGGTTGGTGTAATAATTACAATGGAAAAGAGCAAGAAATCCTGATACAATTTGATATAGGCTAAAAATAAAACTGAATTAACACTGTGCTACATTTTTTGAGCAATCATTGAAATAACCGATTTGCAAACAATGGAAACATAGAAAAAGTCATAGAACACAACCAAGTAGAAGAAATAGAAATAATGTTGTTTTTTTACACTAAAACACTAAAAAACAAGATCAGCTTTTTGAAAAAAGAAAAGATATTTACAAAGGATTTTGATTATATCTAACTGTTGTGTAGATCGTGAGTATTTCCATAATCTTTGAGTCGCCTGTAATGCTTCGCAATTGCTCGAATTCGAGCAACAGGTACACTAGTAAGTATTATTTCCTTACATATGTGGCTGGTTCTTATTCTTCAAATTCCTTTCAAAAGTTTATTTTCCATTTGAAAGTTCTGAGTGGCAAAATTCTGCCTTCTCTTAAAACAACGCACCAACCTCAACAATATCATATAACATATCAAACACTAAAAATAAAAATTGCTAGGCTGATCATTTGCTGTTTGTATTTCAAGCAGTGGCTGATAATTTTCCTGTTCATATATTTTTTTTTATTATAGTGTTTTTGATCTATACAGTCAAGACTCTCAGCAGAAAGTGATAATATATAAGGCAGTTAAAATTGTTCGTTTAATCATATACTCTAGAACAACTGTGTGTACGGGCAAACATTTTTTTTTCTCCGAGGATTGGATTTTTTTGTTTAGTATGGCTATTTGACCACAAAAAATCGATTGGAGTTGGTCACAAATCTGGGAAAAATCCAGTTTCCGTCCTACAGCCCTTGAAAGTGCCCATGTGTTATCGTCAATACCTTTTTGTAGCTGTAGTTAACAAAAAACAGCTAATACAGGCTGTTTTTAACGTCATAATTTCATTTGGCGTGTAAACAAAAATAACTGTATTGGTTAGTTTGGACTAAAATACTAAACATTTTTAAGGACAGTTATATTTAGTTTGGTTTATTAGGTACATATCAGTTTTATATGTTTTCAATTTTAATTTTCAAGGAAATGAAATGCGGAAGACCTCAGAAGCAAAAATTTATACATAATCTGCAAGAGAATGAGCTACAATCGATCGTCAGGAAACAAATTTTACCACTTTGTCTACAACCGACCCAGTTCCAACCCAGCTCATACATCTCACCAAATGTCTCAGAACTTCGGCCAAGTAGCGCATCTAAGAGTGAATAATTTAAGAAATAATTTAAGATCTTATGGCCAAACAATATGATGAAGAACAGGCTGATTATCTTCAACAGGAGCATCGACGAATTGCTGGCTCGGCGTTTAACGCTGACCAAAGACTGCTCTCAGAGTATACTTAAGATTTTCTCTGAACAAAGTTCGGTCCCCAGGTACTGTACTTTTCTTTTAAACTTTGTATACATTTAAACCAACATCCTGAAATTTTATATAAACAAGAGATAGTGGTGGTGATTGCTACCATGGTTCCAAAACGTTGGGCTAATAACCAGTCACCACTCTTTAATGGTTATAGAAATGATGAAATGTATTTAAAAATGAAACATCTTTATGATTTAAGAAAAAAACAAGTTTTGACACAGGCAAGATTCAATATACGATAGCCATAATTCTTTGGAAAAGCAAAATTCAAAATATTTCACCTGAAATATGTTTGCACTGAATGCAGCAAGAGGAGGTCGCAAGTTCAAGTTGCTTCCTCTCAAGTATTCTGGTACTTTTCCTAGAGTCTGACGCTTCACCAGAAGATTTGTCCTTCGTCTAAGAATGTCTCCAATCGTGTTAAAGGAGATTTCTTCAACGTGCCCATCATAGTATTGTTGGGCTCTCTCTTTGTAGAAATCCAATATCTTTCCTTTGAGCTGAAATATATAAAAATACAAAATAATTATATCTATGAAAGTGGGCTCATTTGTATTTATAAACTACCTAATTGTAAAATCTGTAAATACAAATAATATTTAAAGAAATATCCAAAACTTATATACATGACAGTGTAAAATGAATAAAACTGTGGATAAGAAAAATTTCACAAATTAATCACCATATAATCATTTTCAGAAATGCTGGTGGAGCAAAAAGGTTTTATTTCTTTATGTCATAAAAATATTGGTCAAGTCCATTTCATATTACCTCTAAGTAGGCCTACAGGTCAAGCAGCAGGGCTGCTTTAGTAAATGATTGGGCCAGGCCCCGGTGCACAAGTGGTTTTAGATTTGTTTGGGGGCGCAACAAAGAGAAACATTTCCTAGCAAGGAAAGGGCGGAGGGGGCAAATATATTTTGAGCTCATACTGTAACGTTTTACATACAAACCGCAGGCCTATCAATTATCAATTATCAATGATCAATTATTTAAGATGGGGACGCCACTATGTGCGTATTTTAACCCAAATATGAGTGAAGGATGAGTGTTTGGTTGCTTCTGTCAAAATTGTAAAAACCTTGCCACAACTTCTTATTGAAATGTCAATCTCTAACGCTTAATTATATGCAGTGAATGTAGATCAATTTCCATAGGATAATTAAAATTAATAAGCTGTATTCTATAGTTTAATATGCATCTATCTCATAAATTCTTACCTTATCACTGTATAGTTCTCGAACAAAAGCAGCTGTTGTTACTCCGTAGTTTCTTGAGTTTAGGACAGATTCTGTTACATTCTGCAAAACTTGGTGAGGATTGAAGGTGACCATGTCATCCAGTCTTAGAACATCATTCATTTGTCCTGAGGTGGGTCCTCTAGCTCCCAGAAAAACCATTGCTAGTAATGAAGTAGTAGCAAAAGGTGAAAGCACTAGACTCCTCGACGATATTGATCCTTTGCCAGTGATGGATGTCCACATCCTAAAGGCGAGCTCATTACACAGATCTGAAAACCTCCTCACATCATCAGCCAGGAAAGCTGTAGTGGCTTCAAGGCCCATGCTTTCATGAGGTGCCGGATGAAGCTCCACTGCCGTGGTTGGATTTACAGGAGGATCTTGCAAGGGCCTGTAAGCATTTTGAAGACTTGGATATTTAACCTGCGTAAAAGGACGGTCTATTTTTGATGGCTCTGGTCGTAATGCAGTTTTAAAATCTACCTTAAAGCTTTCGTCACTGTTCTTTTGAGTGGTTTCCGTAACACTTTGTGTGGTTGAGGGTAGGGTAGTGTATGTTTCACTCAACGTGTTATTTACCTCTGATATAATACTTTGTGCTGGTTCTAAGGGTATTTCACTCTTATCACTTGTCACGGTATTTTGTGACTGAGTGTGGTTGCATGGTAATCCTAAATCTAAGGTTTCATTTAGGTTCTCAGGACTTAGTTTGCTTTCCTTGGTTGGTAGTGTTTGGTTTGAAACAGTGCTGATGATTTTTGATTCACTGGGCACTTTAATTTCTTCTTCCTGATTATTGACTGTTGAAACGTCTACCGAGGGTGTTGTTTCAGCAACTGGTACTTTTTCTGTGTTTTCTTCACTGAGGTCCTTAGAGTTATTAGAAGCAGTTACACTTTCTGTGGTTTGATATTCAGTTTCAGTTTCTGCTGCGTCTGTAGTTGTGAAATATATGATTGGTTCTTTTTCTGATTCTGGTTTTAGGGTTGGATCTGCATCTAGAACAGTGGTGGTTGTAAAGTATACTAATAATTCCTTCTCTGTTGTTGAGGATGGAGAGGATGTGCTATTTTCTTCTAGAACGTCAGTTGTTGTCATATCAAAATCCTCAAAAGAACCAGCATGTTTTAACTCTCCCTTAACTGGAGGACTGTTAACAATATTTGATGCTGACTCCGTCAGAGGAATTGTAGCCATTTGGAGTTGTGGTTCTAGAGGAGGTTTTAAGTCCAGTAATATATTTGTGACTGCTGAAATACCCTCTTTCACAAAGTCCATTTCTGGCATGTTTAGTGTTGTTGTCTCTGGGAGTTCAGTGGCCTCTGCTTCAACTTGTTCTGTAGTTCTAGAAACATCATCAGAGGAATCGCTCGTTGTCATTTCCGGTAAATCCTCTGTTGTTGAGTCTTTAAAAGTTACATCAGTTGTCACTTCAGATGTTGGAGCAGTTGTTGAAGTTGTAACTTTTATTTCTTCAGAATTACTTGCAGCAAAATCTTCTATGGAATCATTAATTTTATCTTGGATTGAGGTATGGATAGGTTTTTTGGAGTGAGTACAATCCGCTTCTTTTTTGTGATCTGTGGAGTTTTTATCATGTTCTTCATGTTCATCCAAAGGAATCTTCGGGGGATTTTTTAGAGGAACTGGAACTTTGGTTTCATCAGTGCTAGATGCTGCACCTTCTTCCCCAGAAACTGTATTCTTATTCTTTGTAGAACTCAAAGCTGATAATTTAGAAGAAGAAACTATTTCAGATTTGTTTTTTTGCAGACTTGGGGCTTGATCTTTAATATCCAATAATGAACTGTTAACCTCATGAATTTTAGAAGCACTCGCTATTTTATTTTCACTTGAAGGTCTCTCTGTAGTGGTTGATATTTTATGTACAGATTGTTTGGTTGTGAATGGCTGGCTAGTTGATGGTTTGTAAGTTGTAATTTTTATGTCTTCTGATGGTTTAATTTTACTTATTGTTACTTTATTGTTTTGACTGCTTGGTTTTTGAACAGTTTTAATTTCTTGGAATTCTGGGGTTTTAAGTTTAGATGGCTGTATTCTTTCATTAACATTTGTGGAAGCAGCAACCTGAATCTTTTCTTTAGTTTTTGTATCTCCCGTGGAGGGTGTTTTATGAGTTGCACAGTCATGGGGCAGTTCAGATGCGTTTGGTTTGCTAGAGACCTTCATATTTGGTTTTGATGAAGGCTTTGGTGTAGATGCGGTCATATTAGTTTTAGTCTGGTTGACTTTGATTTTGTTGGACACTGAAGGTGCCTGTTTGTTTGGAATAATTTTAACAACTTCTTCACTACCATGGGCTTCTAGAGTTTCACTGTTCTGAGATGTCTTATTTACTACTGGTTTGCTTGATTTCTTGGGTGGCACTTTTCCAGTTGTTGAAGATGATGGTGTTACAGATTGTACTTTTATAGTATTCTTTTTTACTGATGTAGTTTGACTAGGAGCTGTGGGCCGTACTTTTTGTTTGACTACAGATGAAGCTGCAGGAGTTAAAGGTTTATTTTTATTGGTTTCTTTTGTGCTTACTTTTGTAATGTTCGGTTTCACAGTAGTCAATAGAGATACAACTGAATCTGTCGTCTTATTTGTTACTTTTGTTGAATGAGTATCACTTTTAACAGTTGTCTGCGCCACCACATTTTGTTTGGTGCTTCCTTCTGTTGTTTGTTTTACTGATGAAGGAGACTCTGTTGTTGAGGTTTTCTTGTTTGAACTCTCTTGAGGACTAGCTGTCACAGGGTTAATACTGCTGCTTTCTGGTTTCAAAACAGGTTTTATTTTAATCGGTGACTTTTCTGTCGATTTAGTTGGCACAGTACTTTGTTCTTTTTTAACGGTTTGTGTAGTTGGCGAAGATATGGGGTCCTCAGTCATGGTGCTATCTTCAGAAGACTTTAAGAGATTTCCAGATGTTTGGTCATCTGTAACCTGAGATAAAACATCAGATATTGAAGCAGACATTTCCTGAATGGATGTCTCTGGAGATGTAGATTTAGCAGTGGTTGTGGGGGTTTCAGTTGTAGAGGTTGATGCTGCTGCAGTTGACAACAAATTTGAGGGTACTTTAGTTGGGCCTTTCATTGGAGAAGGCACACTTTGGATCTCTAAAAAGTGAATTATAGGCGGAACAGCTGTTGGTTTCTCTGTTGTGGTATCATTTTTATCTTGAGGTGAATTCTCAGTTTCTACTTTAACTTGTGCTTGGTCAATATTAGACGATGCTGGAAGTCTGTCTCCTCCAATGATTGGTTCATTCACACTGTTCCCAGTGTCACTTCCATCATCCAGAGCTTCTGAAGAGTCGCCAATGATTGCTGGGAAGAGCATACTCCACGATGAAATTGAATCTGGTATACTTAATGGAGGTTTTGTAACTACCTTTGTTTTTGAAGCTTCTAACTCACTTCTTAGCACATTTTGCACACTTGCTACAACACTGTGAACGCCTTGTGCCATGTTTGGTTCTAAGTCAGAATCATCAATGTGAGATGACGATAGAGAATCGTGGAAGAACGTTGGTGAGTTAGAAGGATTGTCTAGTGTCTCGCCGTCACCTCCTGCTAGCAATCCTTTGATCTGGTCCAAAGTCATGAGCCTCTTGACAAGGTCTCCTGTTTCATCGAAGGTGTAAAACTCGTAGCGATCAGGGTTCAGAAGGTCCACTGGGCTGCCTACCGCACCTTCTGTCTGGTCTACTGGCTGACCTGCTGCATCTGCTATGTATGTCTTGGTACCATTCCCGTGGTCCATGATCACTGACACAGACGTCACTACACTGAAAATCAGTGATAATAAGTCAGTTAATGTGTGAATAAAAGAGGGCTTGGATATTGTCTATTACCTTTTCCATGAATAAGAATTGATTAAATTTACAAACATCTTGATTATCAATATGTAGTGATTCTAAAACAAAAAGAAAAATTTATAAAAAAATTGAATTATTCTGTAAAAAAATACCAAACCTTAATAAAAAATAAGGGGTAAAAATCCGGGGGGATAAAAATCCGCTACCCTGTTGAAGGTATGACAAAGGAAGTACAGAGCATTAAAATAGCACATCTTCAGTTGTCTTAACGCTAATTACGGACAGGGGGTAAAATTCCGGTTTTTATCACTAATCTAATTAATTACGCTCTGGCTATTTTCATTAGACTTCCAAATCCGCGGGGGTAAAATTACGGCCGCGAACAAACTTTTGGCCACTCAGGTTACTACGTCATTGTGACGTCAGTTTTGCCCAGGGGGTAAAATTCCAGCGGGATAAAATTCCGGCAACCCCCTCCAACATACATAGGTTTGCAGATTCAGTGTTAAAAAGGTTTTATTCAATATATACCAGATATTTTGGTGTCATATTAGATATATTCAGTTATTTAGAGAGAACCTAAGACTATTATCAGATTTTTGGCAAAACGCTCGGATTACTTTGTCTACTTAAACTGAAATCTACATCTCATTATTTATTAACTTTTAATGTTATCAATCTTAAATGTTTCTTTGATTTTGAAATAGAAAATGTTCCAGCAGATCACTGGAATCTCATTAACTCACATCCAAAACCAGTTGATGTTCATTTTCAGGATTTGAAAGCATTTATTCAGCTTATTGTAAATGGTTTGTCTAATCTTCACTCACCTGGACCCAAGAACTTTCCTCGACTCTTCATTGTCGACTTCCTCCTGAGCAAAGACCACCAGACTACAGGCCAGCAGAGCCAGCCATCTTACAGGCTTCATGGCTGTAACAAGACATAAGATTACATAAGTACCTACTATTTTAATAATAATGAATAGAAAGGATACCATTTTAATAGTTTTTATACGTTGGAATTAAGTGTGGCATTGAAATTAAATTAAAAATTACTTTTTATCCAGCTAATTTTTAGTCCTCATAACCCATTTTAACCTGACATGTTGAGTAAATTTCTGATATGAAATTAATAGAACATTTTTCAAGCAGTTTCAAGCTTACAAATCAAAGTTATTGTTCATTATTGAAGAGATAATGTAGACCGGGTTAAATTGTATTATTTGAAGTATGTAGTGATAATAATGGGTAGTAACAAACATATTGATTATATATTTTATTTTAATCTGGAAGTTGAAGCTGAAATAAATTAATTAAATTAGGCTTATTAAGTTTTATGAAATAAATAAATGTTGAGAGTCGTTTGTAAATTACTAGATAAGGATGAGCTTATGTATGTTTTTAATATTACCATAATATTATCAGTTATCAACTAACTAATATTTAAAGGAAGGTCTACTTTCTTTAATTATTTCTTTCTTTAACTTAACCCTACCCTAATCTCGCAAAGATTAACATAATGTAATATTGATTAATTAGTGAAACATGTTGCATTTTCATATCACTATTTAGAGAGTGATGTGAAGCATGATAACGTGAACAATGAACAACCAAGATACAATTTTCAACCAACAAGGTAATAAACTAATTTGTAAATTGACTTATAGTTCATGAGATTTTACACCAAATAAAAACAATAAAATCCACATATCTACTACTTATAAAGGTAGGGCTTAAAAATCATAACTTCGTCATAAAATAAGTTAACACCATTTAAACATTTTATAATCCACTTGCTAGGGGGGTTCCTGTGTGCATTTTATGTATAGAAAAACACCCTAAGGGATCATGTAGGTACTATGTGGGTTATCATTTTTCACCTGGGTGCCAGCTTGGCAGAGTGGGCATAACCTCAGAATCCGCCATTTTAAAAATGGCGGCGGCATTTATTACATGAAACTCATCGGGAGCTTATATCTCGAAAACGGTAATATATAGCCAGTTACTTTTACTGCAATAAATGTTGCTTATACAATAAGGAACAACTTTTGTATTTACGAAAATGCCCTAAATATAACTATTTAGGAGTAGTTGAGCAATTTATGTAAATTTAACCTATACATTTTTACTCTGTTTGACAAACAAAATTCTAATATCTTAAAAAAAACTGTTTTTTGAATTTGGCACATAACACTAATTGCTCTTTACATCTAAGGTCTAAATACCACCGCCGCAGCAAACCTGCAGAATCAGCAAACATTTACCTGGCTGTATTTCTACTAAAATATTAAAATTGACGGATTGATTTCCTATTAGCTTCCTAGCAGCAAACTTAAGTACTCATTAAAAATCAATGTCATTTAACATTGATTTTTAATGAGTACTTAAGTTTGCTGCTTCAGGGAAGGAATTGAGGTGTTTTTTTATATATTTTTATTGAAACGTTGATATCATAGTATGAATGAAAAAAGGTTGAAATTTGACTAAAATATATCCATAAACAAGCAAACTAAAACAGTTTATTTATTCTCCATAAGAATAACACGGGAATTTTAAATTTACAAATTTTTTAAATTATCTCCGCAACTTTTGGACATACATTGCTTCAATATACAAAATTATTTCTTTTATGAGCTCTACAAAATGGTTTGGTTAATTCTAAAATTTCATGTTTTTAGGGTCGAAAATCGGAAAAATCCATTTTTACTCCATAAAACTCCCCATAAACCCCCGTTCCCATAGTCCGATCGTGCTGGTTTAATAGTCCGAACTCGTCTGAAAACGTAGGTTTACATGTTTGTGATAAATTTCAGGATCATTTTTGCTCGAGTTATCAAATTGAGTCATAGTTCTGTCTTCGGATACAGATGTCGTAGTGTCGGCTTTACACTTTATGAATGGATTCTCTTCGGAAGGTTTGCAGGAATTGTGGATGCGACTTGGTTTAGTCAGAACTTTATGATATGTACTAGTTCACATTATAGCAAACAGGCTTGGAAGTAACCTTTGCTCAGTTCTCCCAGCAATCCATATTTTAACGGGCTGTGACTTTGCCAGCAAATTTGGAACAAAGCGTGCTACCCTAAAATGTAATCCAAGTACTTTGCTAATGGACTTTGGAAAAGATAGGGAGGAAGAGATAGAATAAAGTTTGAAAAACACAGTGAAGTATCTAGTTCACATTTAAAAAAAGGAAACTCAGTGTGAAACTATGAATGATCTAAGACACTGGATATACGTACACTGTCACTGTACAACGAATACTCTTAAAGAACCGCATGCTTTGCTCGAGAAGAAATTCTGTCTAGTAGAGCTACTAGACAGCATATCTTACGTGCTTTTTATTGTACATACATCCAAATCCATTGCTTGGAAGAACACGTTTTTCAACTCGATCCTTTGAGTTTTGGATACAGTGATGGTGGTTACTCTTTGCCGCAATGCACACAAGTATATTGTGAACGGTTTAATTTTTCTGATGACTATAAAAGGGAACAGATCTAATTCCTCTTAACCCAAAAGGCTTATAATTTAGATCCAATAACTGCGCTCAAATGTTATGATCCACGAAACTAGTTCAATATCAATACAATCAGTCCAAAGCAGCCTACCACCAAGGACAATGTCAAGGTACTGGTTGTGATAACAAGACGTCAATGCTTAGCCGATGCACCAACTTTTCCGCCGGTCCCGTTCCCGCTCCATCGCCGTTTTAATAATAAATTTTATGAATTATAATAATAGTTTCTATTACATCCGTAGATTTATTATTATTTGTAATAATAAAAATTCATTATATAGAAAGGTTTATATTTATTTTTATATTTGTGTGCGTCATGTAATAACAAAAAATTAATTAAAAAATATTTTATATTATTTTAATAACATATATATCTGCCAGAAGCTTCTCGAATGCTTTTCGCAGTTTTTTACCTTAAATGCGAAGAAAAATTAGTGCTATGTGCCAAATTACAAAATAACAGCTTTTTTATAATTATTAGATTTTTTGGCAACAGAGATAAAATGTATAGGTTAAATATAAAAATTAAATATATATGACAAATCTAATATTTTAGTAGAAATGCAGCCAGGTAAATGTTTGCTTAGTCTGCAGGTTTGCTTCGGTGGGGGTATTTTTACCTTAAATGTAAAGAGCAATAAGTTCTATGTGCAAAATTAAATATGAACATTATTTTAAAGATAATAGAATTTTTTTCCAAACAGAGTAAAAATGTATAGGTTAAATTAGCATAAATTGCCAAACTACTCCTAAATAGTTATATTAAGGGCATTTTTGTAAATACAAAAGTTGTTCCTTATTGTGTAAGCAGCATTTATTGTAATAAAAGTAACTCGCTATATATTACCATTTTCGAGATATAAGCTCCCAATGAGTTTCATGTAATAAATGCCGCCGCCATTTTTAAAATGACGGATTCTAAGGTTATGCCCACTCTGCCAAGCTGGCACCCAGGTGAAAAATGATAACCCACATAGTACCTACATGATCCCTTAGGGTGTTTTTCTATACATAAAATGCACACGGGAACCCCCCTAGCAAGTGGATTATTAAGCATATAATTAAGGTAATAACTTTCATTTTTAATTTATAAAAAATAAACAGCTATGCAAATAGTGAAAGAAACGATGTAGTGTTTTTGTATGCAACAATAAGTGGATGAATGGAACTCAGCGCTGGCAGAATCTTCCTTGTTGGCCATTGTAATCTGCTAGAAAGCCTGAACAACCTTACATTAATTAATGGCTGGGTCCCAGGCCAATTGGGTTATTGTTACGTTATCCTGCATCACAGTTTAAAGTGACTAAAAAAACCAAGATTTTGTTGGAGAAGTTATTATTATTGTGAGGAATAAGCTAGATATTTTTTTGGATGGTCATTTGGATGATCAACGACATTTATTCACAAATACTGAAAAAAACAAATATATTTTTCATCCTAGTAACATGTAGAAACGGAGATTATATCCCTATTTGAAACACTTGCTGTTCAAATTTTCAGATATTTGAAATTTTTAACCTACAATTTCACACAAAATAGGTCATAAATTTTTCAAAAAGTAATTGCTTGAAAAAAATATTATGCCTACTTTTTCCATTAACAAAAATAACTGTAGCTAAGCGAGTTAAACTACTGTTGTATATATTTTTCAATAGATGAGTATTTATTTTATAATATGTCTGATAAAGATCTTTAAACATTTAGACAATAATATTTGCAGAAACTACGTCCTATTTCGTCAATCTACCTGAACCCTAGAACTATCATTCTGAAGCAACTACAAAGGAATATTATGGTTGTACGTGTTAATTTTTTTGTTTGAAGCTTGGGTTTGTTATAAAGTACTAGTATTTTATAAAGTGCAATTGGTTTATTTCTTATAGAGTAATTTAACAAGGATGAACATTTGCTTCGTGTAAATCAGCAACTAGATGTTGTTCCCTTTCCCCCACGCTATGTGTGAAAGGATAGCTGACAGTGTAAGGCAGGAAACGGTATGTGGATTATGAGAAAGAGATTCGCGATAAAGGTTTCTCTTCTTTTGATGAGGCCTGGATAAAGCTGGAGATCTATCTGCAATCTACCACTCTAGGAGTGTCGTCGTGATGTACATAGTTGTTACAGTAACAGCTTGGTAAATTATTGTCGAAATAAGCAAAAAGATGTAGGTTTTGTGAAAAATCTTAAATAGAAGGTTTACGGATATAAAACGATGATGAATCCATATAACTTAGTTTACTTTTATTTGCTCTAGTTGGTGCACGTGTATTCGAGTAAGCTTTGTAAGAAATCAGAAAAAGATCTTATGACAAATATTTTTCTAATTGAATATTTAACTTATTAGCGATATAGTTTGAGAAGATTCCTGTACTCAAACATCAACAGTATTTAAAATTTTCTCATAGACATTT